TTAGCCCCGCGCAGACGCGTCATGTCCTGCGTTCTCCTTGGGCCATCGGTCCCAGAACTCGTCGAAAGTCTCGCCGCTAGCGACAGCACAGCGCAGCAGGTGCACGCCTGGGGGCGCCGTCTGCTTCGAGATCTGCTTCTGCCGCGCCTGCCCCTGCAGCACGAGAACGTTCTCCACCATCCTGTGGGACAGCTGCAGTGCCGCGCCGACCTTCTGGACGGCGTCACGGCTGCAGCGCCACAACAGTGCCCCGAGCAGCAGCTCCACCCAGTCGGCCTCCCACACGCCCGACTTGCGCCAGTCTGGCGCCAGTAGCCCTGCCTGCGTAGAATCTGGCCGGCGACCGCGCCACTGCACACTGCGTGCCGTCAGAATGCCCCTGCCCACGCCTAGAAGAAGAAAGAGCGCCATGAACAGCAACATTTGGCGCTCCGCGCGGATCGCCAGGGACGGCGCCGGAGGCGTCGCCAGGGAGCCTAGCGCGGATCCAAGAAACCCGCGCGGAGCGCCAAAAGTTGCTGTTCATGGCGTTCTTTCTTCTTCGAACGCCGTCGAGCACCAATGCCTCCAGCCGGCCGACCTTGCCGACACATGCCTGCCAGGGGTCGAGAGTGGCAGCGCCGGCTGCCTCAAACAAGTGGCGGTGCACTTCGCTCGGCCCAGCCAGGTGGGCCAAGAATTGGCTGGGCCGGTTGTGCAGCAGCAAGCTCTTTTTCACCTCAAAGAGGACACGGCCCGGCGGAGTGGCTTTGAACAGCCGGTTTGCATCCTCCGCGTCATGTATGCTGTCGTCGAGCTCGAAGCCATAGCGAGAGGCAAACCGATAGGTCCGAAGCAGTCGTACTGGATCCTCTTGGATCGACGCCACAGCGCCCAGAGGGTGCGGCATGCGTACTACCCCTGCCCGCAGGTCCGCAACTCCATGCCCAGTGGGATCCAGAACCTCCTCCGAATTCAAATCGTAATAGCACGCGTTGAACGTGGTGTCCCGGTGGGCTGCGTCGAGCTGCAACACATCGGCATCCGACGCAGCGGCGGGAGTGCCCAGCTGCTGCTGGAGAGCCCAAAAACTACACGAACATCCGCTTTCGGATGTCCGCGCGGATCTCTTAGATTTGCGGCTGCGCCCGAAGCACGTCAGGGGCAGCGCCGAATCCGCCGCCAGGAGTTCGGGAGAAGTGGCGTGGAAAGCCACAGTGGCACCTGGAAACGACGGGGCAATATTTGTTGACAGCTTCGCGTTTCTATTATTTGTATGGTTCCGCTGCCGTTTGTTACCTGGTTCCGTCGCTTTTTTTGGTTGCGGCTCCACTTCCGAACCCGCATCTGGCGCAGATTTTCCGTTCCAGCTAATGGTGTGTTTCCCAACCATCCTGTGGTGTCGGGTCCTCGTTTTGAAGAGACGGTCCCCGCGTTCCTCCTCTCCTCCTCTCTCCTCCTCCTCCCCCTCCTTCTCCTCCTCCTCCTCCTCCTCCTCCTCCTCCCTCTTCCCTGCGTTCCTCCCAACCCAGTGCAGCGCTTCGTGGCCCCATAGGGAGCTCCACCGAAGGCCCCAGTGACTGCGCTCGCATGACACCACCGCGCCCATGTCGGCACACCCCTCACATGCTGCGTGGCCCAATAGGGAGGTCCACCGAAGGCCCCACTGGCTGCGCTCGCATGACACCACCTCACCATTTCGGCACACCCCTCACACGCTTCATGGCCCCATAGGGAGGTCCACCGAAGGCCCCAATGGCTGCGCTCGCATGACGCCACCGCACCCATTTCGACACACCCCTCACACGTTTCGTGGCCCCATGGGGACCTCCACCGAAGGCCCCAATGGATTGGGTGGGCGTGACACCACCGCGCTAATCTTGGCACACCTCTCACACGCTTCGTGCCCAGTAAGGATCTTCATCGAAGACGATACCAACAATTGTGGTACTCACAACTACAAATGATTGGGTCCTTCGCCCGGACAATTCACGTTTTCGTGCTCAAGATCCAGGTGTTCTGCAACGGTGGAACCATTTTTCTGTCGTGCCCAGGGCCCATGCAGTGCAGAGCCGACCCATGAAAACCTCTCGCACCTCTCTGTTGTCGGCGCGCGGGGGGGGGTAGGGGGAGCGGGGCAGGCTTTTTCGAGGAATTTTGCTTCTTAGAGGGCGACGGCCCCACAGACAAGGCCCGCGCCTCCCAAGAAGGCTCCACATCTATAAACAAGGCCCACGCCTTCTGAGAAGCAGGGGCGCTTCTGAGAAGCCTCCCCCCCTCCACCATGACCCCCCTCTGCGCGGCCGCCGACGGTGTGCGCATGCTCGTGCCGTGCATGGGCTCTCCAGGCTGCGGGCTGTCGCGGAGGCTCGTGACGTCCAGGCTGTGCCCGGGCAGCCGCAGCTTCAGCGTCGCCACCGCGCGCGCGCCCCGCGGCGGCACCAGCAGCGGCGGGCCGTGGAGCACCGCCCGCAGGGGCTCGCTGCGGAGGCAGGCGGCGTGGAGCTCCTGCGCGCTCCGGCCGTCCACGAGCACGTCCACGTCGCCCCGCGGGTGGCCCGCCAGGCGCCGCAGCCGCCGCCACTCCCCAGCCGCCCGCGGGCTCACGCCGCCGTGCTCCAGCAGCGCGTCGCGCACCCAGCCGCCGGTGACCCAGCAACGGCGCGGCGACAGCCCCCTCAGCAGCGCGAAGGTGCCCTTCTCCTGCTGGGGGAAGGCCGCTACGAGCCCACGGGGGCTCGCGAGCCGCCCCTCCGCCTCCTCCTCCTCCTCCTCCTCCTCCTCCTCCTCCTCCTCCTCTTCCCCCCTCCTTCTCCTCCTCCTCCTCCTTCTCCTCCTCCTCCTCCTCCTCCTCCTCCCCCCTCCTCCTCCCTCCTCCTCCCTCCTCCTCCCTCCTCCTCCTCCTCCTCCTCCTCCTCCTCTCCTGCCTCCTCCTCCCCTCCTCCTCCTCCTCTCCTCCTCCTCCTCTCCTCCTCCTCTCTCCTCCTCCTCCTCCTCCTCCTCCTCCCCTCCTCCTCCCTCTCCTCCTCCTCCTCCTCCTCCTCCTCCTCCTCCTCCTCCTCCTCCTCCTCCTCTCCTCCTCCTCCTCCTCCGCCTCCTCCTCCCTCCTCCTCCTCCTCCTCCTCCTCCTCCCTCCTCTCCTCCTCTCTCCTCCTCCTCCTCCTCCTCCTCTCCTCCTCCTCTCCTCCTCCTCCTCCTCCTCCTCCTCCTCCTCCTCCTCCTCGCCCCCTCCTCCTCCTCCTCCTCCTCCTCCTCCTCCTCCCTCCCTCCCTCACCTCCCCCCTCCCTCCCTCCCTCCCTCCCTCCCTCCCTCCCTCCCTCCCTCCCTCCCTCCCCCTCCCCTCCCTCCTTCCCTCCCTCCCTCCTCCCTCATCCCTCCCTCCCTCCCTCCCTCCCTCCCTCCCTCCCTCCCTCCCTCCCTCCTCCTCCCTCCCTCCTCTCCCGCCTACCCTCCCTCCTCCCCCTCCCCTCCTCCTCCCTCCTCCTCCTCCTCCTCCTCCTCCTCCTCCTCCTCCTCCTCCTCCTCCTCCTCCTCCTCCTCCTCCTCCTCCTCCTCCTCCTCCTCCTCCTCCTCCTCCTCCCCCTCCCCCCACCGCCCAGGGCGGAAGGGAGGGGCGGCTCCCTTCTCGGCAGGTGCATGGCCCACGCTGTTGAATGGCTGAGCGCCCCAATCCATGCAGCGGCGACCGACAGCCCAGAGCAACTCCCCCGCCCCCCCCCCCACACACGTGCTGCAAGCATCCCCTGCTCGATCCAACCCACCATGCCCCATGGAGGTCAATTGCCCAGCCTTGCCCCCCCCCCCCCCGCAATACCGCACCACGCACAAGGGGCAACCTGGAGCACAGCGGGAATTCGTGCTGCACGCAGCCCAGGGACACGTGCGCGCCATCGTCGACCCGAAACTGCTCGAGATGCCCAGCGAGCCCTCTGGGCCCTCGGGGAGCAAACGGTCTCTTTGGGGCACCTGCTGGCGTGCCGCACCCCTGTGGCTTCGACTGCCCTGATCTCCGCGGGGGTCCACAGCTCCGGCGGTAGCCGCATGGCCGCGCGCACCCGCGCAGCGCGGCGGCCGCTAGGCCTCTCCGCGACCTCTCCCCTTAACCCCGACTCGAGCCACTAGCAGCTAAGTGTGGGAGATGCTGCGAGCCCGCTCTTGCCCCCGAATGCCTCTGCCTCCTCCACCCCTCTCCTCCTCCACCTGCTTCTTCTCCACCCTGCCGTATCCATTACCTAACCTGTCTCACTCTCCCCTCCCCTCTCCTCGTCCTCCTCTCGATCGTCCTCTCCTCATCCTCCTTTCCATCGTCCTCTCTTCCCCCGGGCTTCGTCCCCCTTTTCGTTATCCCACTCCTCCTCCTTCTCCTCCTCCTCCATTCCTTTCCCTTATACCTAACTTCTCCCTGTCGCAGCCCGAGGCGAATTTGTGGGGCGGGCCGGGCGTTTCGTCCGAGACTTCCTCGCCGCTGATAACCCTGAAGCTTCAGAATTGGCGGGAGGGTGGTTTTCAAAATGTGGCTCTCGCCTGAGCGCCGCGCACACTCGTTCGTACAAAGTGCAACAGTTTCACGGATTGAGGGCGGATCCTATTCAAAATGTGGCTCTCGCCATCGCGCCGCGCACATTCGTTTTTAACAAGTTGCAAGAATTGCAAGATTGAGGGCGGTGCACTTTCCAAATGAGGCTCTCGCCTGAGCGACGCGCACATACGTGATTTTGCTTTGAAACATGCAAGAGTTTAGCGGATAGAGGGCGGATCCTTTTCAAAATGTAGCTCTCGCCTTCGCACCGCGCACATTCGTTGTAGACATTTGCAAGAGCTTCGCGGATTCCCATGGTCAACGTACCAGGAATTCTGTGTTGGACGGATTCAGGATTATGAGGGTGCAACTGTTACGTTGATTCGCGGTAACGAAATCCCAAGATTGGCGTTCTGGCACGATTCCAGATCGTCATCGCGCAACAGTCAGGTTGATCCGTGGCGTTGGAATGCCGAAGACGATGTTTTTGGTTTTCGTCAGGGTCTTCAAAGGGTCGTCCTCCAACTAGGTAATTCCCTCAGTGGAAATGAACCGTTTCGGGGATGGACAGACCCCCCTTTAGTAAAACGTGGTTTAGTGAATACGACCTGAGGCCTAAACCTGGAGGGCGCAAACCTGGAAAATAACGGCCACGGCGCCCTCTCGAGAACCGAAAACGGACAATTCACTAATCGACGTGTCACTGTTGGGGGTTCTGTCCAGCCCCGACCGTTGTAGGGGCCTATGAAGAGGGAGCTGGGAGGAAGGGTTCATCCCACTCGTTGGCTTACACTGGTCCCACTCCTCCTCCTCCCTTTCCTCCTCCTCCTCCTCTTCCCCCTCCTCCTCGTCCTCATCCTCCCACTCCTCCTCGCGCCGCGGCGGAAGTGAAGGCAAAACAGGGTCATGATCAGCTACAGTGTAGGGATTTGGTCGTGCGATAACGCAAGCAGTGGCAGTTGGTGATGGCGCTGCGAGGGCGGCAAAAGTGCGGGTGGGCCACGATCAGCTGCAATGCTGGGAGCAGCCCCTCCGAGAAAAGGGGCGCGCGGTGGCAGCAGACGCTGTCTTTGCGAGGCAGCCGCGGGTGGGCCACGATCAGCAGTCGCGCTGGGAGCAGCCCGTGCGAGCAAGAAGGCAGGCAGTGGCAGCGGGCGTTGGCGCTGTGTGAAGGTTAAGAGCGAGCATCATGCCGTCAGCTACATCGGACGCGATGCACAACGCCCGCGGTAAAGAAGGAGGTCGGTGAAGGACGAGCCAGATGCCATCAGCTACAGCGCTGAGATCAGGGCAAGGTAGACTTGGAGCCAGAGCAATCCCCTCATGCCGAAGAGCGGGATGCGAGGCGGGTACCCGACGCATAAGGAAAAGGCGAAGGTCGAGCCCGATGCCACCAACTACAACCGACTCCGCGCAGGAAGCTGAGGCGAAGACCGCGCCCGATAGCATCAAGGCGAACCGTGGGAGCCGGCGCTGGTACTGCGAGAGGCGTGCAGGAGAGAACGTCATCAGCTGCAGAACGGGTATCAGCTCATGTGGGAAGGCGCGCAGTGGCAGCAGGAGCTGGCATTGCGAGAACGGAGCGCAATGGCAGCACGGCTTGGCACTGCGAAGTGTGCGACGGCAGGAAGGGGCAGCAGGTGCTGGCAATGCGAGAAGGGTGCGCAGTGGCAGCAGGCTGTGGCAATGCGGCAATGCGAGACGGCGGAAGTGCAGGAGCGGACATCTTCAATTACAGGTCAGGGGTCAGCTCGTGTGCGAAGGTCGGCAAAAAGGCAGCAAGAGTTGGCAAGGCGAGAGGGACAAAGCCGTTGCAGCAAGCCGTGGCACTGCGAGAAAGTGGAAGTGCAGTAGCTAGTGTCAGCAACTCCCAAACTGGGATGAACTCGTGCGCGACAAATGCGGGGAGCAGCCGTGCATAACAGGGTTGCAATTCGTCGGGAGCTCAGTGGAAGGCCTCGTGTGAGAATCGGGGGGCGAAGCTGGAGCTCCAGATCGTCAGGCGGGGCCCACCAGCTGCAGTTCAGGGATCACTCGTGAGAGAAACTGTGTGGCGCGGGGGCGACCCGATGCGCCCGATAGACACGCGGTAACAAATCCATGGAGTGTTGCTAACCGTTTGGGCCTCCTCCTCTTTCCTCCTCCTCCTCCTCCTCCCCCTCCTCCTCCTCCTCCTCCTCCTCCTCCTCCCCCTCCTCCTCCTCCTCCTCCTCCTCCCCCTCCTCCTCCCCCTCCTCCTCCTCCTCCTCCTCCCCCTCCTCCTCCTTCTCGTCATTACGAGAAGTGTGGGGAAAGGCAGGGCGTGAAGCCGTGCCAGGCCCGCTCCACGACCCCTGCCGCAAGGCGGGGACCAGGGTGGAGCGGGGGAGAAGCAACGCCAGGGCCACCCCATGACCCCCATACGAGATGTGTGTGTGTGTGTGTGTGTGTGTGTGTGTTTGTGTTCGTGTTCGTGTTCGTGTTCGTGTTCGTGTTCGTGTTTGTGTTTGTGTTTGTGGTTGTGGTTGTGTTTGTGTTTGTGTGCGGGTGCGGGTGCGGGTTCGTGCGTGCGTGCGTGCGTGCGTGCGTGCGTGGGTGCGTGCGTGCGTGCGTGCGTGCGTGCGTGCGTGCGTGCGTGCGTGTGTGTGTGTGTATGTGTGTGTTTTTTTGGGTATGTACACAGCAACCTCATGACAGTCCACATATCGGAAATGTACTTCATTTCCTGCTCATCGTTCCTCCTCCTTGCAGGAAGAAGGCGATGCTGGCACCACCGCTATAAGTTACAACTTGTGGGAGGATAGCTGGAGCCAAACGTTCTCGGCGACTGTCTCAGTACGCCCTTCCGGTCTACTAACCAGCCGCTCTGCGGTTGATCAGGAGCTTCTGTATATGGAAGAGGGAGTTCGCCTGTGCTCGACGACGATAGGGACAATGAGCGGGCGGCGGTGGTGTGTCGGGTGACAGCCTGTGGCGCCCAGGGTCGGCCTGGGAGCGGGTGCTGTCTCTTCTCGTCGGCCCTGTTATCTATCGCGCTCACGTAAGGTTCGTTGATCAGACCACTCGGAGCCCACTCGAAACCTACTCCTCTTCCTCCTCCTTCGACTACTCCTCATCATCCTCATCCTCCTCCTGCTGCTCCTCCTCCTCCTCCTCCTCTTCCTCCTCCTCCTCCTTCCCTTCCCTCCGCCTTCTACCCCTGACCCTCCTGCATCTCCACCTCCCTCCGCGACCGTGCCACATCTCAGCGCCGTCCTCCATCACTGCGGGATCGGCAGTCGTCCACCATTCCCACTGGGCGGCGGCGCCCGCTTTGTCTGTCCTTGACTTGCATTTGAGAGGAGGCAGAGAGCGTGTCAAAGCCAAAAGCCTCGCTGCGGCGGCGCCGTTCTGAAAACAGCTGCAGAAAGCGCAAACCTGCGCCAGAACGGCTGGCAAGGAGGAGGAGGAGGAGGAGGAGGAGGAGGCCTCAGAGGGGGATGGATGGGATGGAAAAGCTTCGGGTTGGGCACATGCAGCCCCCCCAGGTGGTTCCTTTGAATACTCCGGGGCGGTCTCAACACCCTGGGGCACGCCCTGGACTCCTCGGGGGCCTGTTGAAGTCAGCTGGGACAACTCGGGAGGCCTGTTGAGGCAAGCCGGGACTCCCTGGGGGAGGCATGTGCGCAAGCCGACACACTCACCAGGAAGGGAGGACAAGGCGGGAAGGACGAGGATGACGACCAGGACGAGGAGCGGCAGGAGGCGTGGCGACAACGATCCAGAGATCCGACGGTGCGAAAAAATACAACATCGCGAACGATCACGACTGGAGCCCTACATCCCATCTTTCTGCGGCATTCTTAGAGCCACATCGAAACGGGACGAAAACGCACGGTGTGAACAAAAATGCGACGCCCCGATCTGAGGGTGTTGAATGTTCCAGCGCGTTGGAGGTCTGGCTGTCAGCTCATGAAACCCCCGGGTTGTAGCTCGGCCTCTCAGGCGGCCGTTTGCAACCATTCGGGCGCCCCCTGAACGCTCCCAGCGAGGCGCAGTCTTTTAACGCTCCGCGCGGAGTCCTGGGATCCGCGCCGGACCACCCTGCCTGGCGGGCGGCGCGCGCTAGGGGCGGCGCCGGAGGCGCCGCAGCGGGGGCTCAGCGCGGATCCAAGAAACCCTCGCGGAGCGCCAACAATGCCTGTGCTTGTGGCGTTTCCCTGCTTCGATGGAAGGCATTCCCAGACATGCGACGTCCTGATTGTTTCAATACGGCGTCCCCAGGAGTCCAGACCCTTTCCCTGGGGCCGGTTTTTCATCCTGAGTCGATTTTTGACGGTCCCGGGGACCGGCGAGGGCCCCTAGGGGACGAAGCTAGCAAAACACTTGCCGTCCTGATTCTTTCAACGCCGCGACCACGTCTGGGCCAAGTCCGCTGAGAACCATCGAGCGCCTCCAGAAATCTCGACCCTCGAACGCCCGAGCCGGGAGGGACGCTGGCGCCCACGGGCGACCTGCCGGGCCGACCCGCCTGGGCCGCTGCCGCGGGGGCCCTCCGCTCTCGGT